AAGAATAGATTTGAGCACCATAATCTATCTTCCAACGTATTAGGGATTTATATAGGAGAAATAGGCTATTCTTGTCAGTCCCACAATCAGTGCCTTTTAACATTTTCATGACATTTAAATCCTTCTTACATCTGTTGACCAAATCATTGATATGCGGCCCGAATGTTAATTTTTATCTTAAAGTAAACCTAGAAATCGGACCGTTTTAACAAAGTTGATTGGTGTACCACCTAAAAACCTTTCAAATTGTGCTTGTTTCGATTGCCAAATACTATACCAACAGTTTTAGTTTCTGATATTATGAAGCCCAATTTTTGTGCCCATCCCCATAGAGGGTCTATACCAGCTTGTGCATCGTTAGCTAGCTTAACCAAATTGGACCCTGATTTCCAGGTGCTGGAATCATCAGCAAACTGGCTAATGACCATACCGGAACCTGAGAGAGATTCTGGTAAGCCGTAAGTAATGAAAGCAAATAGTAACGGCGAAAGGATCGAGCCCTGGGGTGTGCTACGCTCCACTGGCTCTGTGTCAGACATAGTGCCTTCAACTCGAACCGATATTTTCCTGCCCTCCAAGAAAGACCTTAAATACTGGAAGCAGGCACCTGTCACACCATGTTCATTTAGCTTATATAAAATTCCAAAAATGCCATGTAAGATCAAAAGCTGCTGTCTGGTCTAAAAAGATTGCTAGCACTGATCGTGATCTATTTTTTTGCTAGGATCACGTCGTGTTGCAGTCGAGCAAGCTGGTCTAAAGTGCTCATACCCTTTCTAAATCCAGATTGAAAGGGGTTTATAATGTTTTTTGATTCCAGAAGATATTCTAAGCGGGCCTTAAACATTCCCTCAAGCAATCTCCCTGAGTGAGATGTAAGGCTGATAGGTCCGTAAGATTTTGGTTCTGTTTTATCTTTACCATTTTTGTATAAAGGTATGACACATGCCTCCTTCCAAGCATCGGGGTAAATCCCCTCACTCCACACCTTGTTCTACAGCCTAAGCCAGATGTCCAGCTTGTTTAAACATCTTGTAGGTAATTCCATCCTTACCCGCGGCGGAATCACGCCTTTTATTTAAGCATGACCAAAATTAGAACCATAAGCCTTATTTAACCTAGCTGGTGTGCCATCATTTAAAAGCCCGTGTTTTCGACCGATGTCCAAATTTCCTTCCCCCTATTATATGTGCTTGATGACCCCCATACTTGGTGATGAGCATTAAAGTCTCCAGTTATCACACAGTTAAGTAGATTGTTATCTTGAGTAATGAGTCATTTATTTTACTCAGTGATAACTGGTTTGCATCCCTTGAATATATATTAACTAGGACTAAGGGGGTACCTGTTAAGTGTACCTTAATTGCTTGTATTTTAAAAGCCACTTCCCTTGCTGATTTAATGGGGTTGTCCACATCAATGACCTCATAGTTAGTTGAATATTTTTATGAAAATAGCTAACCCTCCTGCTATATTTTGACTATTAACAGTACTCTTATTAAAATGTTTATATTCAGGGGTGTATCCAGGAATTGATTTTTCTTTACTGGAATTCATTTTAGTTTCCTGGATACATAAAATATCAATATGAGGGTTATTATCAATTAAATGTTTAATTTCTGTATGTGTTTGACTTGTAAACCCCTGAATATAATGAGAAATAATATTTAAAGAACTAGACATGATTGGGCTTGTTTAGAAAACTTCTTATTATGGGGAGATTTAATAAAGTTGCTTATAGAAACTCTCCTCTTCTTGAGTTTACCTGGGGTGCCAGGGGCCTTATACCCCCCTCCTAACATGTTTGCCAACCGGGATGTCAAGGCCCTGTGGGTTTTTGTTTTTAAGTCCACAGTCCCATCATTAGCTATTATTTCGGGCTCGGGTTTTAAACCAAATCTGTTTAACAGGACATTCTTTATGAAATTGTCCTGCCGTTTATGGGCTGATCTGCTTTTATGATTGGTTTTACTTTTAACCAAACTTATCAGTTCGTCTAAGCAGACCGATTTAGTTTCTGTATATCTATTATTGTCCTTTTTAACATATATAAATCTAAAGTGAACATGTTTTTTTTTATTGGCCGGAGACGTTTGGGCGGATTTATTAGCCAATGACGGAACCATAGTGATACTCTTAACCGGTGTGTCAGGGATTGACATTATCCCGGAAAGAGATAAATTGTTGTATCCCTCGGGGGATGGGTCCCTCGAAGGACTATTTAAATAAGAAGTGTGCATAGAGACCAGGGAGTCCACGTCCGTGACATCAAAGTCCCCACACTCACCCACGGTTTGATCCTTTGAACAATCCGTGGTGATGGGTGACCCTTCTGCCACCGGCGGTGACCCCCTGATCTCTCTATTATTAAGAGTGGGAGAGGAGGGGGATCGATATCCCCCCTCTCATTAGTACTCTTATTATTTTTTTAAATTTCCGGTTGATGGTTTGAATTCCTATTGGGGGTCCTGGCATCTTCCACACTCTTATCGAGTAAACTTACCTGCTCGCCATTAATAGGCGAGCATGGGGGTGTGACAGAAGGCGAGTTCCTGGGGTGGAGACCACGATCTTCCTCCTTGATCATGGCCTTCTCCTCCTTCAATATGAGCTGGGCCTTGGTCCAGCCTTCTTTTCTGGCTCGGGCAACGGCTGTAATAGCAGTGGCGCGGAAAAAGGCGACACAGCCCGTGTATGCCGCGCTATGTCCCTCACCACAATTGATGCACTTAATTGTATGTGACCCACAGTTCCTTGTGTTATGTTCCCCGGTACACCTGCCGCACCTAGTGCTACCCCTGCAAGACTTGGCCATATGACCAAAGCCCTGACAAAGATAGCCCCTGGGGGGAAGCTTAACATAAGTCTCAGTTTTGTATTTGATGGTCAGATTTTCCTCCCTCAGGTACACCTCAAGGGGGCACGCACCTGCAAAAGTGAGCTTGAGTGCTGTAGATGGCTCCCTCTTCTCTCCTATGCTGGAGTGTTGACAGGTCCTCCTCCATGGATATACCGTGGATGACAACATCATATGTTGTCTCCCCCGGCATACTTGTCACCACACATAGGATGTTGTTAATCTTAAATTTTCCAATTTTAATGCTATTCACAAGCGCTTCCTGTGATACAAACTCTAATAAAAGATTACCAGATGCCAGGGGTGTCGCCTTGATAATATTTTTAACTTTACTGTTGAGCTCTTTGGCCAGGGTCCGAACTGGTAGTGCTGTAATTTTCTTAGATAACCCTTTTAGGACCCCTATGTTCACTGACGTATTACATGATATCATTCATGATTCTTACGAGGGTCCAAAGCGCAACCAAGGACCCGCGAAAGATCCATGTGATGTCTAGATGGCCCGTGACGGGCCACCTTGACTGGCATTATTGCCAATAACTGCGGTTTGACCGCCAATTAATTTCCAATATATATTTTCTGTGTTTAATGATTTAAGATCTATTTATAATTTAAAACTCTAGTTATATTCATATACTATGTATATGATATACATTGTTATTGCACTATATAATACAACTGAATGTTATATAAAAGAACTCACTAGCCAGGTAAATAAACCAAACACACTGAAAGTCAATATGACCTGATAAATAATTTGGTAGATCAATCAAGAAACCAAAAAACAGTAAATAATAAATAATGATTGACCTATTAATTAATAAACAAATATGTGAAATATGTGAAATGAGTTAAATACTACGTATTTAACTATTATGACTACATAAACAGTAGTAAATTAGATACGTTATGAATAATTTAGAAACAAGAACAATATAAATGGTGAAGGAAAGTACGGACTGGTGTAGAACGTGACGTCTTGAAGGTAGGTGGGTGGGGAACCGCTTGGCTGACGATCGACGTTGTATAATACCATATAAAGTGAGAGAGTGCGCCGTAGACGGTTGTGATCAATAACGGATGTTGTTGTGCTTATATTGCGTAGTGTGCCTGGTGTTTGTAAAGTCTCTTATAGCGTATAACTGTAATATTATTGTAATTTAGCCTTTGTTTACAAAATGGCATCAACCGGAAACGGGTGAAAGGAGATAACTCGAGACTGGTGAGACTACGTGTAATAAAGAATATATATAAAGTGTAGTGATATATTTTGTAATTTTTGGTATTCTTTTCTACGGTCAAATAAACAAAAGTTGAATTTGGTTTGTGGCGATGGATGTTGGCAATAGTTCACTGCAAAGATTTGATTCACAATGTCAAAACTATTCTACATAATTTGAAATGAATATAAGTTGAATGAATATTACTAACTTACTAATAATATACTAATGTACTATAATATACAGATATATAGTTACAATGTAAAATATAAAAAGACATTCCATACAGCTAATTCACTCCCTTCCATTGTCCTGCAAACGTGAAGTTGCAAACAAGATCTATATTTTGCATACATATAGATCTAGATGTTAAAAATGGAATAATAATTTACTTTTCACTGAATTGATTCTTCTGAAAAAAGGATTATAACATATTGGACAATTTCTAATTCATTTTAGATTTTGACGAGGTTAATTAGCATTAAAACTATAAACTCATGCTGAAAATAGAGAAAATTCCGAAGAAATTGTTTAGATCAATTTTTATTCCCTTTTTTCTTAATGGAAGATTTTATTGTGCATAAAAAGGTAACGCATATTCGAAAAAGGTAACATTCTTAGCATACCTGTATAAGCAATTAGCAGCTACGAATGTGTTGATGATCTACGACCAAATTTATGATTTCATTTTTGATTTTATTTTCGAAACGTTTTCTTTTCATACGCCCGTGCGTATTGGCGTATCAGTAGGTGATGATCAGGTTCTTTCCGTTTTTCGTTTCGATTTAATCATGTTTCAAATGGTTTGGTCAATATACAAAAAAGGCAAATCCAATAATCACAGACAAAATAAGCAGTTTAAGGTTTAAATTTATAGGTTAACCAGTAAATTATTACAAAAACTTCCAAATGCAAAAAAAAAAAAAAAAATGACCGGAGCCATGGTTACTTTTAGTTTTATACCGTCAATGAACTGGCTCAATCAAACCAAGCCTAAAACATTTTCAATTTTGCCGTTTTGGACTTTCTTAAGGGGTTCTTATTTTCTCTATTTATGATATATCTGAAATATCAGCACTATTAAGTGGTCACACTCGCCCACAAGTAATGCAATTAATGATAAAATTCTAAAAGATCAAAAGCATCTTTGGACAGATATTTATAATCTTTAATATTGATTCTAACACTATCGGAAATTTTTCTTTATAAACATAGAAGGCCCGAAGCGTGCATTATTCTACAACAATGCACTCGCCGTTCTTATTATCTCCCTGTGTATTTTCACATTGAGGGCGCCATTTTGTTAAAAAAATCTGATAAATAAAAACAATTTTTGTCGAATTTTGTTGTGAAAACTATCTAGAATGAAAGAAAATGGTCTAACTAAGAAAATGAATCCGAACACCAATATTTTTAATTCAGTCGTTAACGCTGTACAGACGTTTAAAGTGTTGTTTACGTGACGTCACAATGTAGCGCCAAACAGCACGTGCAAAACAATCAAAATCAAGTACGCTATTTTGATGTCGCAAACGAGTTAAGTTTTACATTTATTTCACTTTTAATAATTTGTTTTTCGCTTGGAAAATTATAGACTGAAATAAAATAAACAAACAAAGTTTAATCAACGTTTTCAAAATTCGTTATTCTCAAAATGTTTCTACACACGGTAGATTTAACGACAGTTTTTTTCAACCCACTGGAACAGCCTTTAAAGAACGTTTCTAGTGGAAACTCTGAGGCGAAAACAAATTTAACCACCAAACATAAAGTCCAACTTTATAATAATTATATTTTTTCTTGACGTGTTAGAATGGAAATAGATATCAATTCTTCGTGCATTATTGTAAAATTATGCACGTTTTTCGTTCAAATGCTTTGTAATTAATCACTCAGGCCTATCGGCCTTCGTGATTATATTACTACGCATTTGAACTCAAACCGTGCATTATTCTACAACAATGCACTCAGAATTGATATCTATTTCCTAAATATACTGCTTTATCTGTCCTTGAAAGATTTAGCAGTTATTATTGAATGTCACCGAAAGTCTTTAACAAAATGAGTATGCAGTTTCCCCATTTACTTATTTTTTTTTATCTATTTCTGTCGATGTATGTTTTCGTTTTATTCCTCAAAATGTTGATGTATTTGAATCTGACGCTTATTTGTGGGCAATTTACTATATTCATAGACTCACACAGAAAATCTTTAACAGATAAATATTGAGCATATGCATACATTAGACAACAATACAGGTTACTTCCCTCACATTTTAACTACATGATACATGTATTTTAAGTGCTGATATACTATCTAACAGAACATAACTTGACAAAAAAATTTTATTGATATATTATAATAAAATGTTAGATACTGACAACATACTGGCTTTACAATGTCATTACTGAAAATATTGGATTGACCTGTTTGTAAAACACAGACAACATAAAATATATATGCAATTTTTTATGATATCATACTAAACATCTTACACAAATACATGTAACAGACTGACAAAACATTGGTTTCATATATCCATTATTTGACTTTCACATGTTTCCCAGTGCCTGACACTTCTTATAGCAAATAAGTTCAAATTGGTTTGTCCTAAATACTTCGTTGGTCAGATTATTAGTAATCATCTATTATGTGTAAAATTTTGTTTTCTGCCTTGTTAGAAATCCGTTAAAATGCCGGTGCGTTTTTTATAAAGTGTATATCTTCATCTAATATTATACAAAATGCAACAATGTAACGTTTTATTATTCATCTAAATGGACACGTATTATGTAAGATAATACTTTCACATAGATAAAAATGTTACAGTATCTGATATAACACCGACTACATACCTGAAATTACATTGTGTTTGAATTGACGGTTAATTGGCAAAATACCCCGCCCTTAATAAAGCATTGTGGTATTGCAATGATTAAACACTGATATATAATTTCAATTTAAACTGATAATGTCCGAAACTATAGAATAAGATACTTATACTAGATAGTTACTGGGCAAACATTGCGAAAATTAAAATGACAATGCATAATATATACTGTACACGTTCAGTGCTTTTTTCATCTGTCCCCCATGTCTATTTAAAGGTTTATTGTTTCTCTGTGTATTGTTATATATTCCTATTATCTTCCAAGATATCTTGTTTGCAAAACATAAAAATAAATGAACTAGTTTACAATGGCCAAGTTTTTCCAAAAGGTTTCTTTCCTGTTGAATGTAAAAGTCTTTTTGTGGCAATCAAAGCATTTTGCTTGGTTATGAATAGTTTATCGTAACCATACCTACGCTGTGGTTATGTAGGTAAGCTGTGTATGCCCTTAAACATATAACTTATGATTCTAATTATAAACGGTTGCTAACAGTCTAAATATATGACATTTTTCAGAATTCTGTCTACTTTGTATCTTTAAGGACACCAGAAAGCATTCCAAAGTATCTTCCGTGCGGTGTTCTTGTTCCAAAACAAGTGAAATCTAGTTATTGATCAATTTGTTTAACAGCTTACAAATATGGAGTTTTGCCGAATTATTTCGTCCTCTAATCTGAAAGGAACGCGCATAACATTTGAAAGCATTGCCTAGATTATTCTCTTGTTCCATACACTGGCCTAGAAGATTGAGTGCTGTTTCCCTATGTCCGAGATTTGGTTCAACATCAATTGTTCTAGCAATGTTAGAGAGAGTCTTCCGTTTATCATCTTGTCTTCCTAGCCGGGAATATGTCTTGTACTGCAAAAAATAGAGATAAGGGAGAGAATCTACAACGGCCATGTCCATCAATTTATCATCTTCACTTCTGTAAGCAAGGTCTTCCTGTGTTGATCTAAACATTTCATGTTGAAGTTCTAATGGACAACAGTTAATTTCACATCGTATAAAACAGACACATGATGCCGTTATATCTTTAAGCAGTGTGTATTCTTCACTTGATTCATAACATAATCTCTGGAAACTTTCTCTTGTTCGAGCCTTTTTGAAATCGTAACACCCACACATTGGTTCAACAAGACTAAGATTATAAAACTCCTCAATATTTTTCAGGACCAGTTCAGTCCTCTCAATATCTCCATTACAATAGAACATTGATGCTAGTTTCAGTTTGCCAGATGCTACATCAGAGTCAAGTCCTAATGACATGAATGAAAGCGCCTTCTTGTATGTTAAATGGTCTTGTTGGTTAATGATTAAAGATGCTAGAATAGACCCAAGTGTACTGCATAAATGTCGTGTTATTAAACGGTAAGCTTTTTTATTCTCATTTTGGTGATTTGCAATAATTGTTAAAAGTTTTTGCGTGGCAAGTCTTGGTGATAAATCATTGGTTTCACGTAAGAAGAATATGAAACTTGCATTCATAAAAAGGGCAGTTACTCCTAGCAAAAGTCCAGCAATTCTAGTTGGTATAACATGTTCATTTATTTGTATAAAACTGTTTAAACTTGATTTTAGATATAAACCAAAGTTGTCGCATTTAATTTCGAGTAATGCCCTTCCATTACTTTCGATCACATAACGAAGAGTTTCAAGTATTAACGGCTTCGATTCCGGAGAAAATCGCCCGCTCATTAAGTTGTTTTGTGTGATGAAGAAATGAGGACAGTATTCATTTTGTACACAACTGTAAAGTGTTGATAAACAAAAAGATAGACAAGTAAAGAGGGTATTTTCCTTCCATGTGTCAGATCTTGTATATGAAATACAATGTATCAAAACGGTTTTACACATGAAACTTGAAATCCTGTCGGGGAACATTTGAGTAATAAAAGTTTTCAGTATCATTTTCATCAAAACATAACATCTGATTTGTGTTATGTTTAGATTAAACATTAAAAATCTCTCTGCAAATGATGTGGATATTCTCCATTCAAATGCTTCATTTGTACTTCCTGATTTTCCAACGCCTACAACAAAACATCGTGTGTTATTGCAGTACTGTATCATATCACTTGTAGGCCAATGCTCTTCTCTATGTTGATTTAGCCAATGCCCTGCCTGAACTGGTCTTACGTGACATGGAAAGGCTGGAACGAGATCATTATCTCTGACTCCAGGAACATTTTGCAAAGAATGAGCAGGGCCATTTCGTACTACATTATGTAAACCAGTAAACATTGTATTTTTTAACAATATTCTCCCCATTCTGTCCCTGTATGTATTGTCATCAGTTTCAACTACGAGCGGCAGTGGAACATCATCTCTTAGCTTTTGTAACAAACAATATCCTGGTGAGACATTCTCATCTTGTATCATCAAAAAATTACGTTTACCATATTCCCATTCACTTCGGTCTTGAATCACATTAAATTTGTTCAAAGATATAAGACTATCTGTGTCAGAATGTAATCCTGGAGTTGTTGTACCTTCTATTGTACTACCGAAAAAGAACACATTCTTATCATTACCGCATAGCTGGTGAATTACGGTCAATAGTGATTCATTCAGTAGCATTGATATTCTTCTTCTTTTCATCACTATCTTCTCGTTTACACCAATCATATCCATCACTTGAGACATTTTAAGTGATAAATTGTGAGCGTAATCTGGTATGCTCGACATTCTGAAATAAAACAGAAATTCATTTTATTCATAAAAAGTTCTGTATTTCTTAATACAAAACATTAGAACATATGTTTTCACAATAAATAAACAACAATTAATACTTTGATAAAGATCCCTGCAAAACACGGAAGTGACACATTCAAATAATATATTTATAAAGTATATTTTTTAAGTGATGTAACTTTTTATAAAGGCTTATAAAATCAAACAAAAAAGGGTATTAAAGTGATATATATGTTTATATGGAATGCCGGTAGGGACATGCCAATTTGCTTATTTGCCAATTGCTGAATTGCTTATTTGCTAATTGCCGATTTGCTTATTTGCCAATGGCTGATAGGCTTAATGACAAATTTGCTTATTTGCCAATTGCTGAATTGCTAATTTGCTTATTTGTTAACCACTGGTTTACGTATTTGCTTATTTGCCTATTGCTAATTTGCTTTCTTGCAATAGAAAAAGTTTACACTGTGCCGGAAGTATATGGAACATCTGACTATCGACAACCAGTTGAGTCAGATCTGTTAACTTTTTACCAACAGTATTCTTGTAAAATTCAGTGTTTTTCCAAGAAAAAACTGTTGGTCAATGAATTTAGTTGCAGTGATGCCTACGCAGATATATGTCTACAACTGATGGCTGACATGTCATTGAGAACACAGACGCTTGGGGTTCAGATCCCGTACCCCAACGTGATACGTGCCCCTGTAAACCACTCTATTTAAAATATTTTTGATATCTAAACACGAATTGGACATCGTTTAAAAACTGGTTTTCAAGCAGTTTTTACATTATACCGGTATGAAAAAATACCATATACCACCAAGTCTCAATAAAGTACTTAATGGTTTTATCGTTGTAACAAATGTCCAATTTGTATTTAAATAAATATTAAAATAGTTTTGATATAGTGTTTACAGACGCGTATCACGTAATGGGCAGGATCTGACCCGCCAGCATCTGTGCTTGAGAATGCCTTATAATGTGTTGCAGCTATATATCTGTTTGTGCAGCTTAAGTCAGAGATTGGTGGCATAATAAACACTTGATTAGTCATATATAAGTGAAAAATATTGGTTAAAGATTGAAAATAAAAGAACTTGAAAACAAAACTATTTATTATTTTATGGCATATAAAATGTCGTTATTCTCAGCAGATTTGTCACAGAGGGCCTCATTTTAGTGGTACGAACACATAGTATCACAAATGATACATTTGGTGCATGCTTAACACGGGTGTTTGTCTTTGCACTTAAGCAATAGGCTTCGTTTTTAGCTCTGTTAAGATTTTGAGATCACTTATGTCAGTGTGTGCATCAACATTTTTTGCTTTGGTTCAATGGTTTTGAAATTTGGTCACACTTTTTCCATTTTTTTCATATTTGTACATTTTACATGCTATCAGGTGACCATGACCATGATCATGACCTAGGGTTATAATGGACAAAGCCTCTTTGAATATTGTGTATGCATGCTGCCTATTTAACGCTTATGTGAAGTAACAGTTAGATATACGCAATAGTAACAGAGATATGACAGAAAAAACAAAGGTTTCTCAGTACAATACATTGGTGACCTTGACATTCAGTATATAACGGGCACAGCTTCTTCATGTACTTTGTATGCATGCTTGTAACGCAAAGTTTATGCAAAGTCTGCAGTAAGATGCATGAATCAGCAAAAGTAACAGAGATATGACAGAAAAAACAAGTTACTAAGAATAGCATCCCTATTCTCTGAATAGTGGAGCTAAAACGGAAACTCAAGATAATTAAAAAAAAAACAACTACTTTCTGAAACTGAATTTATTTTTTTTCGAAATTGATTAAAATGTATCCATCTGTCTTTCTACCTATATTCTAGGTAATGATGGATTGATCATAATTGTCACAAGTTATAATTAACAAAACCTTATAAACATAATATAACATGATATAGGTTCATGAGCTTGAAATAAAGTCTATAAAGACTTGTTATTTTATATCAAACAAGAACTTAGCGAGTCGGACGTGTCGCCTGACAATAGCATAAAAAATTATGTATACATGTATAAGCAAATAAGCAATTAGCAAATAAGCAAATTGGCAAATAAGCAAATTGGCAAATAAGCAAATTGGCAAATCAGCAATTAGCAAATAAGCAATTAAGTAGTTGGCAAATAAGCAAAGTGGCATGTCCCTACCGGCATTCCGTATGTTTAACTTACATTGAAATTGTACAATACAAACACGAAAGTTGGAATTTCCAGTGGTTCACACCTTAATTGGACAGGTTGAATGGTACTTAATATTGAATCAATAAAGTACTATTTTTTGGTGAAATTACACCTTACTTTTAAATTGAATATTTTACAGACAATTTAAAAGTAATAATGGCTCTATGGCGGCTTTCTTTCCTAGGATTAAATTAAAATTGTGGGATCATATAAAGAAACTTTAAAACTATCTCTTTAACACATGGACATGTATTTTATTTCTTATTTATACATGAATTTATTTCGAACTTTGATCAAAGCAACAATATTAGTAAATTTAAGAAGGTATTTCATCATTTTGACATGCAGTCAAATCTTTAAGAATTTTATTATAAATAATTTAAATACATGTACAATTATTCATTTGTACTATATAATATTTTTCCCTATTTGGCATTGATCATTCTTGGATTACTCAGATAAGTATGATGTGAACAACGAAGTTAGAAATAAGTTCAAATAAATCGTTGTGTGGATCTACAAGAAAAATGTTATGAAATGCCTGGAAAATATGAAAAATTTAAATATCATGTCTATGAACAATGTGTCATTGATGAATATATTTTCTTTTATTTAAAAAAGTAGCTCATTTTCTTTCTTTTTTCTTTGGACGTCTATCATTCATACCAGCATCAATCAATTTATTCCTTATGGTGATATTGTTAACTTAATTTTTTGCTTTCTGCCATCTGTTTCTTAATGAAGAAGCTTCACGGAATCAATATCACCGGACCAAATCAACAATATATGGGTCTTGTGCAAACGTTGAGCACCTAGAACAATCATCACTGTTTACATGTGCTATACTTCCTTCAATTTGGAAATGATTCCACATTTATTTACCAACACTATATGAAGCATTAAAGGTGCGGACAACATTTCAATCCCCTCTTTTATTCATCTCGCGAGGAATAAGCCGCATTCTAAGATTATTATTCAGTATATTGAATACTTTCACACGACGATTAAAATTCTAAACAACAGCAAGGACATTCAGACATATACACCCATATAAACGCTGTCATATTCTTTATTTTCGAGGTTCACGAGGTCAACGTGCTTCACCTGTTGTCATGCATGTTAAGATCATTAACTTTTTTTGCAATTTTAAGCCATATCTTGTTTCAAATATTTGTAGACCTACATCATATATGTTTTTTTACATTTATTTTTAAGTTTGCATTGGGTAATAAATAAGGTGGACTCATTTATATGCAGTCGACAGTTGTCCGTTGTAACGTTTCCCAAAACAAGGAAGTGAATAATACGTCGTTCCGATTACTTTGAAATTCTAATATTTAACAAAGAAGATAAAGCTACTCTACCTTTCTTGTCTGATTGTATCAAACCTCTTTGTTTGAATATATCTTTTGTTGTCCGTTAGTCAGTAACTGTTTTAATTTTGAATAATTTTTCTATTAAAAAGAGCTTTTAAAAAAAATTAAATATCATTATTGAGACAACAACAAATATTCACCGAGGTAGCGCGCCTGTTATTGACACTTTAATAATGAACTGAAAATTGGCAACATCGTTGAGAGTTACATTGAGTTAAGGACACTCGTATAATAAATTTCCCTGCGATATTGGACTATGGACACTTTTCTAAACTTCAGGTATTAGAATGACTATTTTTCAGAAATATCGATATCTAAATAATTTATAATACCATCCTTATGGCAAAAAATAAATATTAACTTAAAACAACTCTTTATTAAGAAATAAATAAATATACTATAATTATACTAATTCATATCACGAATTCTTAATTGTAATTTGAATTCCTTTCCGTTAAAAAATGTTTTACATAAAAAAATAATCACCTTGTTTTTGTTAATCTTGACCAAATATTCCCGCTGATATCACCTATCACATATTATATCTGATTTATTTGAAAGACATTACTTTATTGCTACTCAATTCTTTCATGTTCATTGTTATTTATTTACAACTGTTCTGATGTTGTGCAGTCACAATTTTTCACTGTTAAATTCCCAATCAGATTAAAAACATATAAAACCTGTAAATCATAAATAATATTCTACAGTGTCTAATATTATTATGTATTGTCAGTAATATAGATTAATTCAACTGAAGAAGCCGTCCTCCCATGATGTGATGTATTTATTTAATCAGTTGTTAAAATCATATTTGTTTGTAATTCAATGATCAAAGAACTGAAACAAAGTTTCAAGTTACTTAAAGCTACATTAAAATGCGTCATAGTTGCGTGCAAACATCTAAAAAATTATATCATTACATCGGACAATGTATTATGATACTAGTAGTTATATAGCGTTTACAAACTTCAATTATACAATGACTGTATCGTATGTTACAAATGATGATCACTTTCGGTTTCAGCAGGCTGATGTGGCTCTATACTTGTAGATGTATGTTTCTAAAAGTACTAAATAGTCCACCTCTTGATAGAATACCAATTGTTTTTATTGATTATTGTTTGTGTTTTAAGATCTACATTTTGTTATTTTGAAGAATGGAAAATATTCGTAAAATAAACAATTAAATAAATAAATTAAAATTTAAATAAATTCAAAACTTTTAACACAATAAATAAATAAATATTCAACTTTAAGATGAAGTTTGTCTCCTATTGACATTAAAGAAAAAACGAAAATGAATTAAAGATAGACAATATTGTAATATATTCCTTTAAACTGAAAGAAAACTTATTTTCATAAACAACAGTGAGATATACAAGAAAATTTGTGTTCAGATGATATATAGATGATATTGAATTGAATAAATGTAATCTTAATAATACATTGAACGAGTTGAATAAAATTTTATTATGCGAGCCTTTAGCGAAGAATTTTCTACATGATTTTAATGGACTGTTAGAGAATGTAAATTGCTACATTCTTATGTTCAAAATTAAGATAAAATTTCTGGTTCTGGCCATTGAAAGGAGAAGAATGATGAAAAAATATATTGAGAACGTCTTTGATTTAGGATGTTACAAGAATATTATTCTTGCAAAATTATTGAATACTAATGATTAATTAATTTGTTTAACGGCTAACAAATGTAGATTTTTGTCTATATTTCCCTTTTTCTAATCTAAAGCGATAGAGCATAACATATGGAATCATTATGCTTTTATTGTTTTCTTCCATACACTGTCGTATACTGTTGAATGCAGGTTTCCATATGCCCAAGATTTGGTTCAACATCAATGTTTCTGACAAGACTCACTCAAGCTTCGATCATTTTATTTTTCAATAGTACCCTCTCCATTCTGTCTCTATACGAATGGTCATTAACATCAGCTACTTCTGGCAAAGGGACACTTTAAATAATATTTTAAGAAATAATAGCATTGGGAGATATTCTTATCCTCTAGGATCATCAACAAATAAACATTGCAAGTAAGACACTAAGACCCCTTGACTTCTCGACCCCTTAGGATATTTAGATGACTCTTAGAACCCTGGAACTCTTAGACACCTTAACATTCATCCCAGTTTTGTATCTCATTAAATCATAAGATTTGTGTGAAGATAAGATAATCCGTGTCAGGTTTTAGCCCAGGAGTTGTAGAACCTTCTGATATACTGCCAAAGCAGTACACATTAGCACTACATTGTATCATCCATTAGCTGAATAGTAAGTATGTGTAATTGATTCATTTTGTATCAACAAAAATCTTCTTTTCATTTTTATCATCTCGTTTACACCAATCCGAGCCATCCCTCAAAGCGAAAAATTATGAAAGTAATCTGGTATTCTGGCCATCCCCAAACGAAACTGAAATAAACACTATTTTTATTTTTTTAAATTCTGATAAAATCAACACAAATAAGTTTTAATAATAAACACGAATCCTTACGCGATTAAAACGTGGCGAAACTGCGTACACTAAAAGAAAAAAACTATCCAAAGTAGATATTGATGTCCAAATAAATTTCCGGAGAGAGTAAAACAGGCGTTGCTCATATTTTAAATTGTATTTCTTCATAAACATTATATGAAACGTCATACATTAGATTTTTTTATTTCGAATTTTGTCATAAGACAAAGAGATAACGCGATATCGATTGCTATACTTGTGACACAATTTGTACGATACTTAAAGCTAGCAGGAATTAGCATTTCAAAACATTTTCGAATGTTGGCTAAAGCCACGTATTAATATAATATGAATACAAGTGACGATAAAGGCGTCTCTCTGATGTTATGTTTATAATGATAATAATGACGGATAAAATGGTGATATGATGAATTGAAACAAACTCATATTATGCCACCTTTTTGAAAATGCTTATATGAATGTACCATCAATATTAATGATATACTGTTGAAAAAGTGAACGGAAACGATGATATCTTAATTTTATTATATTACCTAAGAAAAAACTTTACATGTAAATATATCTTAGTCTATGTACTTTTGCCAGATTACTGTACTGTTTGGCAGCTTATTGATATTTATAACAAAATTAGTAAGCTATTCTATTTGATAATTAAGAATCATCATGCTTTCTACTTTGTGATATCTCAAAAGCGTTTGGTCGAGTTTGGCACAAATGTATTTACTTCAAATAAAAGGGTATAAAGCTTTACCTGATGAAATTAAGATATACATTTTTATTATTTTGCAAAAAGTCTTATGGTTTAATCACGACCGATTTTTATCATAAAATGTCCCTTGTTATTTATACACATACATAGTAATTAAAAACAGATTAACATGTTTCGGAACGAAAATATTATCAATCATGCTAGTTTTTACTTTAATTTCATTGTAGATTTTGTGCCATTTGTTCTAATTGAAAAGACCATATTGAAAAACTTTTATCAAATTAAAGAGAATCAATTTGCTTAAAAGTATTAAGCCACATCAGCCTGCTGGAAACCGTGATCATTATTTGCAACAAGTACAGAATCATGCTAGCATGCTTGAACCGAAAGAAATTACATTTGCAATAAGTATAGACCCCAACCCCGGCCGGCTAAAAATGATCATCTTTTAAATAAAGTATAGAGCATCCCTTCTGCTGAAAAAAAAGCTAAAACCTTTCCACAAAAAACCCACCACCCGCGACGTAAAAGTGATCATATTTTCTCAATTATCTGCCGGGGTTGCTGAAACCCAAAAAAACTTCTTTAATACAAAAATAGAGGGAGGGGCCTGCTGAACCGAAATTTTATATCCTTCCTTGAATTTAGGCCAGGCCAGCTTTAGAAACCGAAAACTAAAAATGATCGGCTTGCCCCTTTGTAGGTAGGTTGAAAAAAATTGTTTCAACATTTGCTACAAAAAAAATAGGCCAAACTGCAAAAGAAAAATCGCCTTTTGCAACGAGGGTTTTGGCAGGCAATCTCTAAGGGGATATCGGCTTTTTTTATTATGAGTGTTCGCCGGTCGTTTTTTTTGGGCCCAAAGATGGGCAATTCGATTGAAAGTTTAAATTAAAAATTTAAGGGGAAATTTAAACTTTGACTGTATTGTTTTACAAAGTTATTAAAAAAAACTCAAGTAATATATTGAATGTAAAAGAAGAAACGAAGTTTTAAAGTGAAATGTTTTTAAATAGTTCAAAGTTATTTTCTTTTTTGAAAAAAAAAAAAAGCCCGGTTTGTTTTTGTAAAAAAAGGGTTTTTTTCCTTTTTTTACAAGTTTAGCTCTTTCTTTTTTTATTTTTTTTTTTGTTTCGCAATAACTTAACGTGAGATATATCAAGGAAAATATCTTTTTAAAAAGATTGTAGACTTTAATCAAACAAACAGCTTTAAATTTTTAGTTTTTTACGATATTATTTAAGCCTAAAATGTAGTATCGCATGATCATTTTAGCTTCCTTTTAAAAATTTTATGATCCGTATTCTATGTCAATGTTGTAGACCATAAATATTACCTTTAAACATTTTTGTTCTCAACATCTAGTTCCTCTCATTTCCATTTCGAAATATTTAAAGTTATTACATTACGAAGTTAAACATGCCTCACCGCCTCATAAAGCATGTTGGGTATAAACAGACTCAGCCAACTTTGTAAATCTAAAGTCGGCGAAAATAAAATATATGGTTATACATTGTTTCTCGTTGTACATTAGTCTATGTTTTAAATGATTGATATAGTGAGAACTACGTATAATAAAAAGAAATTATTATATATAGTGTAGTGATATTTATTTTGTGAATTACTGGTATTCTTTTTTTACGTCAAATAAAACAAAAGTTGAATTTGGTTTGTGGCGATGGATGGCCAAAGATCTGAAAATTCACAGTGTCAAAAACTATTCTACATAAATTTGAAA